ATCACACGCGAAGGGAGAACAACCCTAGGGGGAGTGTTTTCGGGGGCTTGAAAAACGTCCGGTGGAACGGTCGCTGTGAACGAAGTGCTCGAAGGAGAGTCGAGCTTGAGCTGGATCGGTGCCTTGGGTTGAGCTTTGACCTGGACTACCGCGTTGGAAGATGGTCGCACAGGTGGCGGCGTAGGAGCGAGGTCTCTGGATGTCCTTGTTGACCCATTCGTCTTCTTCCCAAGGATCGTCGAAACGACCTCGTGCTTCCCTAGATTGTTGAACTTCTTCCTCGCATGCGTTCCAAAGTTTAAAGGTCTTCATCGTCGGGAACTCGAGGGTATGAAGTCGGCAGTGGAGTCGTCGTAGGGTCCGGGGGTGGTCTTCGGTGCATCCATCCACCTCTGGGCAGGAGACTTGCCTCGGTGTTTGCCGGTGCCACTGCCGTCGGCGCGTCGCCTGAGTGGAAGGAGGACCGGGGCATCGGACTCCGTTTCCATGGCCGACGAAGGAGGAGTAGCCGATCTCGCAGGCGGAAAAGAGGATCTAGTCGGGGTATGGGATCGCCGGTCTGTCCACGAAGCTGCATGTCGAGACGGAGCCTCGAGCATGCTCTTCGCGGAGAAGTGCCACGGCCACGCTCGACGAATTGGCATAACTGGGGAACTCGTAGTACAACGTCCAGCCTGTGCCGAACTTACTTCCAGTTGCGAATCGTGTTCAGGCGATACTGTGCCATGCTGGTCGAGATCATCTTCGCAGCTTCAGCTCGATTGATCTGTCTTACCTTGCCACTGGCCACCATCGGCGGGATCGAAGGAGAGCGGTGGACCGTCTCGACGAAGTGTGTTCTGTGATGTGCTGTGTTTGTACAGATCGGCGCATGGCACCGCCGAACGTATCGCCATGCTGGTCCCTCCAGCGATGTCCAGAGCCACAGACGCCGTCAAACCGCTTCTGGCACAGCAAATCGGGCACCACCCACTTGTCGGCGATGAAGTCCGGGTGAAGGTGTGGACAGCCCGCTGCTTTGTCGCAATTTTTGGGGACAAAACCCCGAACCTGCAATCCAAGATTCTCACGATTCTGGAATCTCGCACCTCCGCGGGGAACTGCGATAACATACTCGACGGTATCTCGGTGCCAGGAGGGAGCGAAGAAATCGAACCCTCTTGCAAGAAGGCATACCACGAGTTCGATCGTCTGGTTGGCATGACCACTCTCGTCGTAGATCGGGGAAAAAAGCAGTAACCCACGAAAGAGGGCAGAGAAGAAAACCGTTTATAAAGGATCTTAAGCCAAATGGCAACGGATGTATCCAACCAATTCGCATTGCTTAGAATTTAGGAGGCTTGGGGTAAACGAACGTTCAGGTGTCAACTTTCTAGCAAGCATCACCCAGATGAGGGGTGAGATGAATGGCAACCGCTAATTGTGCCTCGGTCTTCCACCAGCAGCTCGATACTCAAATCAAATATCCTCCAATCAACTTTTGCTCGATGTAATCAAAAGAAGAATGTGATTGTAGCATGAACAGGAGAACCAAGAACAACTGGAAGACTGAGGCAACTGCGCATTACACCTTCTAACCCCAACCGCCAACCCCTGCAATCCCCCAAACCCAAAGGATCCAGGATCCGCCAAGGTACAAGGACCGATCACGACTCCCACCGGGGCACTGTGAGCCAAGGCAAAAGGGCGCTTCGGGTTCAGGGCTTACAGCTCAGCTCAGGTTCAGCTTGTCGACGTGCACGCGCATCAAGCATGGCTGGCTTAGCTTAAAAAGGATTTTTTTGCAGGAGGTCGGGCCCTTGTCACGAAATCCCTCCCCTTCATCAGGGGCCCAATGAGCTTCACCACAGCTACAACCCAACAGGCCTCGTGACCTTCTCTGATTGTGGTGACTAAAAGGTTCGAGACGTGGGGAGAAAGGACTCAGGCACCTAACCACTTGTCACTTGTCTGCTCAGCGATGAGGCATGGGTATGAGGCTAACAGAGCAACAAACATCGAGAACTCACGATAATATACCAGAACAAACTATAATATACTATTAAGAATATCAAAAGCGAGACCCATCATGATGCTAAAAGTGACGGCCGACAAATGATCAGACGGACCAGAGAAGTCCGCTGGCCACAATACACTACCATGTAGATCAGGAGCGTCAATTCGGCTACACCAACACTGAGAACACTAAGCAGTGATTCGGCACTCTTTTTGCATCTGATGGCATCTGCACACGAAATCACGGGCTGGAAGTGCTTCAGCCGGGACTACGGAGAAAGAAAAGTCAGTGATTCGGCACTCTTTTTGCATCTGATGGCGTCTGCACACGAAATCACGGGCTGGAAGTGCTTCAGCCGGGACTACGGAGAAAGAAAAGCCCCAAGCCGCCCAAGCCCCCAAATTGTCCTTTCGTGTGTAGATCAAACTCCTGGCCAAAGGCGATACCAGGCACTGCTCTCAACACCTTGAGTACCCCAGCTCCACGCCTGTTGAAGTACTGTAGGAAAAGCAGCTGCTATGCTCGAAACCCTTTCCTTCTCAGCTCGAGGAAGCGAAGGTAGGAGAACAGCAGCTGCGACGTCTTGTAAATAAATTTCCATGACCTTGCCAGAGGCCCAGCTCCCTTTCCTTCGTACTAACTCAGAATCTTCCGTCAGCTGCAGCAAATAAGTAGCTCCTCCAGCTCGAAAAGAGCCCAAATCAATGGGTCTAGTGCCATGTGGAACAGGAGCCGCCCCAATCTTATGCAGCAATATATCTAAGCGCTTCCGAAGGGTCTGTGGGGAGAGAGGCCAAAGGCGTTGGTGTCGCTGAAGTTTGCCGAAGGCGATCGTAATAACCTGCACAAGATCCTCTGCTTCTATCTTGGCAGATTGATGCCTTGGTCCTCGGCCTCGCGTCTTCGGTTCCTGAATGCTGAAGAGAATGAAGCGCTGGGAAAGCATTACATCAGCAGGTAGCACCAGAGAAGCTCGAGAGGCCTGCACTACCTCTCCAATCCTCATCAAGCCACCAAACGCCAACGCAAAGCAACCTGCTTCCTTCACCCATCCCCAAAGGAGACAGGCAGTCAACAGCGAAATGAAGACTATTTGAGGAATCGCTATGTGGTGGGACGAAGGTTCCTCAAGTCTCCAAGCGAAACCTAAGTCCCAAGCTGCCTGAACTTGTCTTCTCAATATAGGCCAGATCGAGGTAACAGCATTTATGGTCTCAGAGTAATGCCAGTAAGGCCTTCCAGAGCCATACAAATCTCTGCCGTATCTGACTAGCCAGTCCGCGACGGCTTCAGCATCGAGGGGCCTCGTTCCCAGCAAGTCGTCCAGACTATAGCCAGCAACCTCCAGGAGCCATTGCGAGAAAGCGGCTACATGTTCCCCTCTACGAGACCCCGTCTTAGGCAAAACAACCCTCCCAGCTTGCAGACCCAAAGGAGAGCGATGTTGAGCCCTGTCAAGGTCAGCCTGGTTCCGAGGCTCAAGTCCAGCTGAGACGAGGTCACCGAAGCATGCGAAGAAAATCCAAGAGGCAGCGGGGAGGAAGGGCCCTTCCTTAGGGTACCCGAGGGTGGAATCGAAATCAAGGTGCCTTCCCCCTTCTTTTGCAAAGTCATAGTCACGACACCTGCTGGGCAGAGGGTGGAGCCTGCCTCCGTACAGCCAGACAGGGCCAGCACTGACATTAAGGCATTCACCCTTCAAGCGGACACCGTGCACAATTTCTTCGGCATCTTTCCACCCTGCACCCAAATCTCACTTCCTTCAAAATCCCCAATAGGTGCGACAAAACTAGGCCATCCACGACGGTTGTTAATGTCCTTGTGAGGCGCAGAGCGAAACTGAAGGAGGAGGGTAACTGTGGTGAAAGGAAAACCGGGCACAGCTGAAGCAACGCAATTGCAGGCAAGCTTGGTTGCAAAAGGAAACTTGGCTGCTGCTGACCTAAGTCCACAAAAGGGCCCATGAACAAAGAGGCCAGAGGACCAGTACTTGCTGCCCTCGCTGGATCCAAAACGTTCCTTACCCTCCTGCGGTAGGAGATCGAGCAGCTCCCCAAGAAGGCAGAGGTCTGAGCGACCGGAGCTCAAAGCATCCTTCGCAAACAGCTCGGCGGGGTGAAGGCTCGTCACCCTAGGCCGAAACAGGCCTTGAGGGGGGAGACCGCCGCACATGCGATCAGGGTAAGAGCTAAGGGCGGAAACAATTTCCTGCCTTTCACTCGGGCTGGAAAGGAGCAGGACAAGGCGGATCCATCTGGCCCTATTCTTGGCAGCTCCCTTGAACTGGCAGAGCTCACTGATGGCTTCAGGGCACAGGCCGTCAACAGCCGAAGGCTGACAGGGCTTCCGAAGAGGCGCAAGTCGGGCGGGGTCATCTGACGCATTTAGTCGAGTGCGTCCGAAGACAAAGAGTTAAACAGTACAACCCTAAGCGGTCACGCTTTTCTCTGGTTGAACCAAAAGGGGCTGCGTCGTAGCCATGTGATTCATGGGCTCCACAAAGGTGTGGTCGACATGCTATACAATCCCATGTACAA